CGCTATTCAAAGTCAGTATTACAGCATATAATAACTTAGTTTCGTTGCAATCAGTATGGGGCGCAAAAAGAAAAGGATCTGACGTTGATTTCGTTCTTTTACAAATGATCATTACCCGTTAGTAGTCAGTCAACTTTTGACTTCCGGTTAATAAAGATCCCGATTTCACAAAATCGCGTACGTTACCGCATATAATTGGTGACTTTGTTTTTCATTTCTGTTAAGCCTAAAAACAACAGAAATACAAGATACATAGTATTAAACAGTATCATATCTACAAATACTGGTTTTGAAAGAAAAACTACAACTGAAATATACAATCATATCAGTAAAACAAATTCCATAATTTATGCTCACACCATTGAAATTTGATAAGACTGCGTGTCCATTCACTGCGCATTATAAAACAGATTTGGGCACACCGTTACAATCCACCTACCTGTGCTGTATAGCGTTAGCAGATTGGGAATTATTTTTCTAAAACTGAGTTAGGCCATAGCTTTTAAAAAAACTAATTTAGAGGATACAATTGAAAGGATTTCTTTGTAATCTTAGGTTGTTGGAATAGTAGACTGGTGAACAAAGAACCAATATAAATTAAGAACAAAGATTTTTATTTTCAGACAGCCATTGGCATAGTTTTAATTTTTGAATTTGATGAAGGATTGCGCCAGTGAACCAGTCTTGGACCAGACATCCTGTAAGCTTCACTCTTAGACTAGCTTTGAAACATACCTCACTTTTCTTTCACTGCAGTCACCATTCTATGAATATCGCATACCGCATAAAAACTTATAAATAAATAAATAAATACGTAAATTAAAGCTCCCCCTTAGGGAGCTTTTCAGCCACAATGTAAACTAACTAATTGCTTAAAAATCCCCACTGGCCGGAGGCAGACCAGTGGGCTATTTACAGAGCGCAGCCGAGGAGTTAAACTAGGGGCAACCGAGAACAAATCCAGTGAGTGGCAGGGTAGAGGACTTGAACCCGGGACACCGGATTACAAGTCCAGCACCCTAACCACTCGGCCACGCCGCCTCCTGTCTGCTTACAAGCTTTTATTCGAGTGGTCACACGCTGTCCTACAATACAGTACGATGTTTTTTTTTGTTTTTTTTTTTTCATTATTAACTCTCCTCCTAGAAAAATACTCTGAATTAACTTACAACTGAATCAATCGAGGCCAGACCACAAAACTGGAAGCTACGTTCCCTACTCTTTGCGAGAATTGCGTGGTTTTATCGTTTTATCTACAAATGGATACATAAGAAACACCGTTTACAAAGCATTGCAAAACATTTCTACATGAGGTCGTAGTAGTAGCAAGTATGATAAATATTGTAAGAAATAGACAACTTTTTTGAGAGACATGTTTCGGCATGCTTCTGCCATCTTCAATCAATGAGTACCTGAACGTTACGTGAGTAATTATATAGCATACAAGGAGATGAATAAAATATTTACAGTATGATGTAATTCAAAAGCGGGTACTAATTACAACGTGACACCAAACATCAAAGGTGTGAACTAAAACGCTAGAAAAATGTTATAATGCTGTAATTGTTTGTTAAGTTCAGGTTTGGTCTTATATATATAAAAAGCTTCTTTGAGTTTTAAATCAATTGAGGTGTTAGCAGAATCCAGAATACTAAAGCAAGAAAGGGAGTATTTGTTCTTACAAGAAGATGTGTTGAGTTGCTTAAAAATATGCGAGTTTTTATCGCTTTCCGTGTGCTCCTTTATCCTAGTAGAAAAGTGGCGACTAGTTTCGCCAATATAACGGGAATTACAACCCGCACAAGAAAATTGGTAAACTACCACGGATTTTAGAGTATCAGGAGTACGATCTTTAACACTGAACATGTTTTCAATTTTAAAAGAAGTGAAAACTATTTTGATATTAAGGTCCGATTTGCAAAAGCGCTTAGTGGGTTGTCGGAGTTTAAGGTTCGCTATTTTAGAATAATAGCCGACAAAAGGGAGTTTAAAGTAACGTGTAATATTGTCATCAATGTTCCGGCTATTTTGAGAGGAGGACCCGTCAAGATAGCGCTTGAAAGTTTTGTCAATAATATGCGGAGGAAAAGACGTTCTATTTCCTACAATATTTCTATATAACAAAAAAACTGCTTAGAAGTTATTTAGTTAGTCCTCTTCGTGCGTTTGTGTGCAAAAGGCCTCGGCTAGAGAACACCATTGATTTCTGTCGATTGTCAACCGGTGAAGCTGCTCCTATGTCCAGCCTTTGTCCCTAATTTCCCTTCCCACGGGTCCCCTTCAAGTTTCCTTGGGGCAGCACAGTAGCTCTCATTGTATTGATCACGTTCAAGTTTATCATCCAAAACTGAAAACAAAAATCAGCTGAAGCTGCACGAAAATTAGTGCCAGAGCTCGTTTCGTTTGTCAAACACGACGATCGTTTGTAGAATCGAAATTTTTAGTCGCTTTCCACACCCGAAGCTCTGCATGAGAGACCTGTACAATGGCAGCGTCACAGTTGGATTAATTTTTAAGTGTTATCTAGAACTGAAAATTCATTGAATTGAAGATCATTAACACTACTACAAGAAAATATCATTCAGTAGCTTTCATATAAATGCTGACACATAAGGGGGTCGTCCAAAGCTTGAAACGAGAACAGCATGATAAACAGACCCAGACGGAAGAAAACTGCCCGGTAGCAGTTTCATTTGAAAACAGAATTATAAGTAAGTTAATTTAATAGTAAGCTTTCACTAATAAGGATTTCGTTCATTGGCTCAGAAGATTCATCTTGAACAACTTCCAGTTAAAATGAAAGTATCGCTTGAAAGTGCATGATTGGCAAGCACCATGATAGTAGCCTCAAACATTAGATTATGATACGCCTTAAAAGCTTCAGGTTCGCCGAGTTGAGACATTTAAAACCCATCGTTTATAACATAATTCATGTTTCTATGTCGAAGAACTCTCTAAAAGCTTTGAATGGAATTATGGCAAGTTTCACCGTCCACAAACTTTTTAATGGGCGTTTACAAGCAGACAGCTGACTAATCGTTAACCGACCATGGTTACATTCCATTTTCGTCTGGCAGAATGAACATTACCGACCTAAATGTCTCAAAAATAATGATGATATTATAACAAAGATAATAAGTGAACTCAAAACTACTACATGGTCATTATCATATCCGAAAGGGAGCCATTTCTTTAAATATTTGTCTGAACTTGAAAACTATAAAACCGGACTTTAAACTTACGTTGGGCACGTGCCAGGCTCGAGGCAATACACAAGCCTTCAATAAAAATAATTTCACAAATTTGAATGATTATCGGTTACCATTTTTAATTAACGTGCTTGCGAACCGCAAAAATGATCAACTTGTTTTCTTGGAGGCATCATGGATCATAGAATAGGTATTCTAACCACAATATCATGAATTTAGATTGATGTTGTTTACGTGGAATGGAGCTGCAAAGTGATACAGAAATTTGAACGGAAGTAGGACCAAGCCACAGTAAAAGCGATAAAAAAGACTTGCGAAGCAAGATCAGGGTTAACTACTTGGGGAAATATATCTTATCAGGTTCGTAACCAATTAAAAATGTTTTTCACCGTTGGAATCAATGGGGCAGCTTGCCTAGGCAGGTTTCAACTTTGACTTTAATGGAGAATGGGTCTTGTCATACAATGCATTCAATACATTCGTTATAACCACGAATCTTCACCGCGATTTGAAAGCAATATTTACTGCGTTTTTAGATCATGGCCTTTTTGTGATTATGCGTACAAACTGACATCCATGTAGTTTCGAAACTAGTATGGGTGCTGTCTTGGCAAATTCCCCAACCAAATCCGACATGTTTGCATATAAGCCAAAGCTAATAAAATGCCTTGACTATGCTCTGAGAACCGTATTTCCGCTTCCAAAATAAATTCTAAAAAAGTTAAGTCCTGACCTCATAGATACACATCATCTCCTGCCGTCTGTAGGACTGTAGACTGAAAATGATATCTATCAGCAAGGAGTTTCGATTCTTCATTAAAAGATCAGGCTTAAAACCAAACGTCAAAGGAGTATCATACTCCTTTCAGCTCTAAATGAGTTTTCCCTTTGTCTGTAAACAGGAACTTCATGTTTCTGAAGCGCTCATGTGGAACACGACTTTTAAAAATAAATCTATTGTAATGATTAGATACCGCTTATTTTTCAATAGGTAGCTATTGGGTGAAACATAGTTCATATCAAGCAGAGATTTAGGTACGTTCTGTAAGGGAAGTTTCGATCTTGTTAGTGCAGCCTTATAACTGACACTGTGACTCAAATGTGAGTTATGTTTAAGTTACGTTCTTTCTTCTCGAATCTTCACGCAAGGATCTCGAACTAACTGCATAAATTTGCTTCAATCGTCGGCAAAGGCATTCAGTAAGTAAAATATGAAAGATTATTTTTAGTTCATTCATTCATCTAGGCTGGCTTTTTGTACAATATCTGAAAAAAGAAAAAAAAAAAAAAAACGACAACAACGCCAAGGATTCCACTCTAAAATAATCCTCTCAGTGAAAATTTTGCTTTATCGAGACTTCATCTCTTGGTTTCGTTATCAAAACCTAAATAGCTAAATTACTCACAGAAAAACTTCAACCGTAAGGATTTACTAATTGTTACGTTTTGGTTTTCATTTGCTTATATCACCATATGGAAATATTGACGGTTATTACCTAAATTGCGTTTGATCTTATTGATGTAATTTTCCTGGCATCAGAGAGGTTTCATGAACTAATGACTGAAAATCGCCTATCCGTTATGAAATGGAGGCCAATTTATCAAACTGCATCCCATTTCGAAAGTGATGAGTGTCAATTCCTCTGCTGTTTTATTATTCACGGCAGGAGTTTGCTAATTCAGGTGTGAGTTACGATGTTAACGTCATAGAATCTAACCTCTACTTTGAAGGAAACATCAACGTGATAACTCACAGCTTTAGGTAAATACCAAAGAGGTAAGCTTAAGTCAAGAGGAAACGGGGGTAGTACGAAGATGGCGAAAAACATAGGTAATTAAAGATGCCAAACTTGAAGCGCCCTTTAAATTTAAAGGCCAAATTGTTTTAAAAGGCATGAACCGTAAAAACCTTTTAACTTGAATGTGAGCAGTTGGCTAATGAGACAATAGTTTCAATTCATTGGCCCCCGCTTGTTCAAAGGTTGGATATCACTATTGACTGGATAGCTATTTCCGTTTGGCCATTACCTATCTGCCGAAATGTAATTTATTTCAACTGTTTTTATACAACTGGACCCAGGACTATGATTCCTCTTTCTCGCACAAACAAGGTTTACTCGAAGGAAAAACAAAGCAAGTTTTGAAGCAGTCAATCAATCAATTATCGAAAGTCGACAACACTGTCAAGTTTTGATACTGTCTTGGATTTTCATCAGTTTGCAATGTCTATGAATTTTTAAGCTGAATCAAGTAGTTAGACGTGAAGTACAAGGAAGATTCCCATGCAGAACAAACAGCTTTTCTATTTTCAGCGATGGTGCTGAAACAGCCTTTTAAAGATGAAAAGTCGACTTCCTGATTTTGACGCTAATCAGGTATTCTGAAATATATGTGACGTCTATTCAAGGAATTGCGTACTGCTGATGGTCGTGAAAACTCTCTGTGAATGCGGAAGATGAAACACCCACCGATTCAAAATGCCTTGGTTAACCAAACAATGAAAACAGCTTCATTTGTTTCCCTTAAACTTTTACATGTATCATCAAAAGTTATTCCTGATGTCGAATAGTTTTTTTAGGACACAAAAATTGTTAATGCTTTTCTATTCAGGTTCAAGTCCATCGATCTTTTGACGTGAAAAATCTTAATTCAGCAGAGATAGAGATTAAAAGAAGAGTACTTGGGTGAAATTTCGTATTAATTACTGATTTTCAGCCAAGCAACTCCAAACTAGACAAAAGCATAAAGTTCTATCATCCTCTTGCTCCTTTTAGAATGTCATGTGACGTTACCGCAGCAATCTATTTGTACCAACCCTTTCAAGTATAAAATTTTTCTACGAAGTGCAGACAAACGGCTATTATTCCTATTTAGGGATTTCATCTCTGCTGTCTACCATTGGTTTCAGTGATTAGGTTACCAAACATGGTCTTCATTCTATTTTAGTCTTTTGACGTCATACTTGTGCTTCTTTGTATTCTTCAATGGCTACCATGGCAACGTTCCCTCCAGTACATCATTCGCACGAAAATCTATCCATCTGCCCTCTGCCAAGTGACTTCCTCGATCAGGACATGCAGCACTTGTGGAGCCTTGTGAATCCTGGTCCTTTAAATTTTGAAGAAGAATTTCTCAATGGTTCCATGGATTTCACCATGTTGAACGATATGGCAGACGAAAATAGCGTTGTTGATTCATTATATAACCCACAAACGGATCTCGGTGCGCAAGGCGGGGTAAATACTTTCCAAACGCCTCCTACACCAGAACCTGAGCCAGATTTCCCACAAAAATTTTCCCCTGAGATTCAAGCGGTAACCAGTCAACCACAGCAAATGTCATCTCATGGCCTTAATATTTTGAATGAAGGAAACTTTAAGAGCCAAGAGAGAGAGCCAACATCTCCCATGGAGATCCAGCAAGGAGAACCCAGAGGTTTGTTAGATGTTTTTGAGAGAAACACTGTTGCTGCTTATATCCCTAAAGCGACTACGTATGTCCCAGAGCTGGGGTTTATTAGTCCGTGAGTTTTGAGGGAGAACACTTCTCGAACCTTCAATTCCATATTTGGGCAAAAGTTTAAAACCTTGCTTTTGATTGGCCGGCTGATAAACCTCAGTTTGTTTTAGAGAATATGGGAAACTTTAGGCGCTTCTAGGTTATAAGCTTCTATTATGTCTTATCTTTTAACTCTAAGAAGTGAACAAGTTGTAAGTACTCTTGGCAAAATTCAGTTCACTGTCACGGGAATTGATTAATTCATCAGCTGGATTGTGTTATATCGATGCACGATAGTAGGTAGAGTTTTCAGATAAATGGACGACAGAAGAAAGGAAGAAATAATTACTTGTCAGATTTTATGAAGAAAAGATAACGTTGGACCATACTTTGCTAGGCTTCTCAAGCATTGGTCACTTTTTTCAAAGCTGAGAGATGCTTTGTAGTTAACCAAAACAAATATGTTTTCATTCAACGATTTAATGAAACAAATATGTCACGTAAGGTTCTACTTTGTCTGGTCTTTCAGATTCTACAGAAAGTAAGAGGACGGAAAACAACGATCTGGAAAGTAAGAAAGATCTTTTTCCAAAAGTTGATCAAAAGTCTATGATAAGAATTGGTGGGAGAAAAGGCTGAGTATTCCTTTCTCCTACTTTCCCAAATGGGTTTTCATAACATTCTCAGTTTCACCCTCATAATTCCACAAAAATCAACAGTCCCAACCCAAGCTTAAAAACAGAGGACTATTATAACCATTTTTACTGCCAATTCCATTACCACTGCCATTACTTTCGTCATTATCATTGGACAAGGACATCGCATTTGCCACTGCCTTTTGTCCTTTCCTTTCCCATAGCTAATCCAATTGCCTACGCCAAAGACAGGCCATTTTCATTGGCAATGCAATTGTGTGCGCCTTTGGCAATGCCTTTGTCATTCCAAATTCCTATTGTCTCTGCCATTGTCATTCCCACTGCCATTGCCATAACTATTTCTAGACATTTTCATTGCTATTAGAGCTACCGCTGCTATTGTCATTACCATTGCCACTGCCACTGCCATGGCCATGGCCAGCGCTAGATATTGGCATTGCCATTGCAGCTGCCGCTGCTATTGCCATTTCCATTGCCAGTGCCAGTACCAGTGCCATCGCCATTGCCATTGCCATCGCCATTGCCATTGCCATTGCCATTGCCATTGCCATTGCCATTGCCATCGCCATTGCCATTGCCATTGCCATTGCCATTGCCATTGCCATCGCCATTGCCATTGCCATTGCCATTGCCATTGCCATCGCCATCGCCATCGCCATTGCAATTGCCATTGCCATTACCATTGCGGCTGCTGGTGCCATTCCCTTTACCATCGCTAATCCCATTGCGGTTGCCACTAACACTACCATTGCCATTGCTGTATCCATAACTAAATTTATTACACGACTCGGGCAGTCAGAGGGCCAATAACTAAAATCAATCAATCAAAATGCTCTATTGCCGGTCAATATTCTCTCAGTATTGGACCGAGCTCTGTCCCGAATGGTCCCGAATGATACTGCACTTGTGTCCCTTTGAACTTTAGTCGTATAATAAATCTCTTATTAACCAAGCTTGCTCGGGACCGTACTGGAAGAATATCGGCCCTCGGTATTTTTTGTACGGACCCNGCGTGTTAGTTTTTATGTGGCAAATAAAAATTGCCACATAAAAAAATTGTCCGTGTAGATGAGACGCCACATAAAATGTAACAAACGCGCCTAAAGCTGCAACACGTCTGGCACGTCTTCTGACTTTCGCCATCTTGCTTTTTTCCTTTCCATGAGCATCTCCGCTGTGCAAAATTATTACTGACTCAAATTAACAACAAATGTTTGTCGAGCCATCTCCACGGGCAAATAAAAATTGCCACAAACAGTTGCCACATAAAAATTGCTCGTGTAGACGGGGCTTAACAGTTAGTGGAAGTGGTCGCGAAAGGGAGAGACTCGGGTAATGTTCTTGCACACGGCTGGCATGTTCTGTGCAACTAACGTTGCATATGGTTTGTGACACCCCAAGATTTTCAATCACCATCGCGTTTAAAAGAAAGGGCTTTGCCGGTACTGCAAAACGACCAGTTTGAAAACAAATTAGTCTTCTACCACTTTTATTTGGTCGGAAAACGACGTCAAATGAAAAATATCCATCTCTGCTTGTGTCCTCCTCCTCCTCCCTCCATCGGATTAGCCAAAAATTCCCGAGTGATTGAATGGAAACCGTTTCAGTTGATAAGGGTCCTCGAGTCAGTTTTTGATGGGATGAAACATAAACCTCAACGAAGGCTTCGAACAGAAGTCACAAAAGCGCTTTCCAAATGAGTTTCCAAAGTAGTTACAACGGTTTGTCAAAGTAAAGGAAAGTGTCATCAGGAACCAGTGACACTTTAAAAATTCCTCTTAATCGTTGCGTGAGTGAAATAATTCAATTCGTTAGTTTCATTTTTTTATTTCTAGTTCGGAAAACAGTTGTCTTGTGGAAGTTTCTCGAAGAACTTCTTGATAAAGGTGAAGAAAACTGTGTGAGTTGGGTCTCGAAGGAAGAGGGAACTTTTAAATTCGTCGACTCCAAGCTGGCTGCAAAACTCTGGGGCCAACGAAAGAACAAACGTAATATGACTTACGAAAAGCTGAGTAGAGCTCTACGGTATTACTACGACCGACGAATTATGTTTCACGAAGAAGGACAAAAGCTTATCTACAGGTTTGGAGAGGTTGTTATGAAGAACAGGAGACCAAGCACTGAAGAATCTCCTTCGCAGATTCTGAACGGAACAATGTAAGCCTCTGTGGGGTTGAAGACTTTGATCACGGTTTGTCAATCACGTGGTCATTTTTTAACTCGAATTATGCGAAAGTCCATAACGATTGCGTCTTATTGGCTAATCTCGTCGTATGTGGTAGAGAATTGCACGTCGAAATATAGGTTTTTTAAAATGCAAGAGGGAGCCGGAAGGTAACGAAGTGATTGTTTTATAAATTCTTTGTCCGATTTGATAATTAATTGATTGAATGAGGGCTAAATGATTCACTAACTGATCGAGGGGTTAATTGGTTGATTGATTTGTGGCTGGTGGATGGAAGGATCGGTTGTTTTCTTATCTAACTGCTCTACGCTAACGGGTAGGTGGACTTCATTGAATTCTTCAATCCTTAAAACAAATATATGATAAAGAAAAATAGCAAATTAGGACGTTTTCTAAAGATTTAATAGCTTTTTCTCGACTTAACCCCTATGAGTGATCAAGACAAAATTTCACGATAAATGAACGTTTAAACGTTTGTTTTGCGATAAGAGAGTCAGGTAATCTGGATCAATCGAGTATTGATCGCGAAGTTTCGCCTGCTCTCAGTGCTTGTCTTCGACAGTCGAAACGTCGTGATCCATATACCGTTGATTTTCCTCACTCGTACATCGTTAGGCGAACTATTCAACGTTCAGTTATGTAGAAATCCACGATAAACAACATTTTCTTAATACATCACTTCTTTTTCCAATACCAATGCAATGCAAGCAGGCAAGTAGAAAACAGAATAAAAAACAGAAAAACAGAAAGTAGAAAACATAGTATCAATTAGAAGGTTATCAGTTCATCCAAATAACATTAGAAAGAGAGTATGGCTGGTAATAAAGAGAATTTCTGAATGAGATCTTGGGAATAAAAGGGTTAAAAAGATATATTAGAAAAAAATCGGTCAAGGTTGGAGAAAATAAATCGGATTGTGAGCCATTAACCTAAAAAATGAATTGCATTTTGCAAATGTAATGCATTTTTTTTAAACACCAAAAAGCTAGAGCGGCGAAACTCCCTTTACCTGTAGAAGAACCCAAAAGAAATGTACGCATACTTAAAAAGAGGCACCAATGAATGAAACTAAGAACATTAAAAATGATTGAAGAAAAGTAAGGCTCTATCTTCCTTAGTATCTGCAAGTGTAACAGTCCTGATTCTTCAAATAAATGGAGGTTGTTCAAAGAGGATAGTTTGAAAGGAAAAATGATTATATCATGTTTTAAATTTTATGATTGTAAAATTATAATATTCAGAAAATTAATCACTGATCTACTTGATGCGCGGGATTTTTATTTTGGAAGTAAATGATATTTGTTTCAATTTTGCGATGAAAACCTTTTGTAAAGTTTAAATCTTCAGGAATACTTAGACGTAATTCCTTAAACAGATATGATTCTGTAATAACCTAACTGCTGTGCAGTAATTTTACATCAAACCTTATTGAAACACGCAGGACGTGATCTCTTAAATATATATGTTTTTTATCAAACTTAAGTACTTATCTCGGTAAATGGACGCAGCGATAAGCTCTGTAATCTTCATTGCAATAAACATTTTGCAATTGCCAATCACTTATTGATATTTCTCATTTTTCGTGCATTGTAACACGCAGAAGGTTGGGGAGTGGAAGTTTGCTGATCCTGTGGATGGAAAAAGAAGTTGGGGGGGGGGGGAATGGAGGGGAGCAGCTGGGTATCACTCAAGGTTACTAATAAAAGCAGCGATGAGTGTCGCAAAAATTGGGGAGACTGGGATAAAGTTGACGAAGTTATTAGGTTTAAGTCCTTTCCTGGCCGTCACTTCGCGGGAAGGTCAGCATTTAGACAGGTGATAAATCACATTTCCTGCATACTTAGAGGTAAGACTGACGGCACTGATACCAAAAACTGGCAAATTGATTGAGATACTCTTGGCTGCGCCAATAAAGACTTAAATTTTCCTGTAACTCTGCTGATTTCCATGCAAGATAATCTTAAGAGGGAGCAGACATATCCATGCTATTTTCTTTTCTTAGTTAGTGGGAATCATCGTATTTTTTACTTCATATCATTTTCAAATTGTTTCGCACAAGATATGGTTCGTTCGCCTTTAGAGTTAGTCTGAAAAACCGGCGTAATTTTTGCGTCTTACCGGCGCCCCTCCCTTCGTGGATGACTCGCACTTCGAGCTCGCCTCGAACTTGCCTCGCGCTTGCCTCCGTTTAGATGAAGAACGCAAGAAATTTCGCCTCTTCCGCAGGCTGCTTTGAAGCTGGGTCGTTCTCCAATATATCAGATAAGACAGAGTCGATAGATGGGGGCGAGATTAATTCACTCAATAATGCGTTTAACGCTCTCCGTCGATAGTTTCTTTTGTTTATATTTCATTACACAAGTTAACACAATCGATTCTAAAACTGCCGCATTTTTCTTGCAGAAAAGGCCGAGGCTAACCTTAATTATTCATGTCGGAACAATTTTTCGAAAATGATCAGTTTTAGGTTCTTTCATTGTCGATGTACCTGTTATTTGTGTGTACCAAGTGATGAGCAAATAAAACAGAAATCTTATCAGAACGAACGTACATAGCTCTGATAATACCTTCGTACAGTTTCACTTCAAAGGGCGAGTCGCACCGTCTTTGTCCGAATATGCGAGACTGAAAAGTTCGAAGAAGGCAAATTTTTACAGCTAGCTCTTTACTGTAAACTAATAATAGAGCATTACGCACTCTTTGTTGTTCCCAGCGAATATCTCACCTTGACGATCACACTACCCTTTCACATGTTACCCACGCGTTCAAACCATTTACTCCAGGGGATATTACTAGAAAATAGAGCAGTCAAATGGGAGGAGCATTGAAAAAAAGAGAAAACAAGACTTAATGGAACACTGTATAATTGTTTAGTTGATTCTTTACTTGCGCACTATTTTGTTGTTGTAGAGAAAAGAAAAAATCACGTCGTTATATAGAAAACACACCGCCTTCCGCTCATGAGCTCTATGGAATGGAGAATTTTTTTCTTCGACTGATCTTTTTTGTAACAATAAGGTAGCTGACAAGCTTAGTTGGTACAGTAAGATTGAGTAATTGTTTTCAAAAAAGGCAACGACAACAGTGGAAACTGTAAAGAAGCTTATTTTCTTCCGCGGTTCGGTTTTTAAGTTTTTTTCCCGCTGATCCGTATTTCCAGAGCAGAGCGTGCAAAACGGACATGCGTACATCCGGTTCTACGCCATACAAAAAAGTAGACGGAACGATATGTCATTCTTAAGATTCGATAATGCAACTCGGCTTTTTTATTCTTTATCGGCCTGTTTTTCTTTTGCAAGGCTTACCACACGATGCAAATATTTTGTCGGCGTAACTGCAGAATACCCCGCAAATCGAAGTAAATTTCACGAAGCCGGCTACGCGGTACCCAGAAAATGATTAATTCAAATGAGAATTAAATTTCAAGGCAGTTAGGACAAATGAATTCAAAATGGCGCAGCAAGGCTGATT